TGTACCATTGGGGTTCCACCTGATTGAGGCAGTCGTCATTTCTGCAGTTACAAGAATAGGTTCTCCGTCAAGCTCATGCCTCATTAGCTGGGAAAAAGAAGTTATTTTTGTAAGAAAAATCAGCATGCAGGTTACCTGAATTTTACCACTTTCAAGTGCTATTGCAAGTGTTGGAGGATAAGTGTCATCTAGACCTTCAAACCCACCATACCAATGTAAACCAACAATATCTGAATCCACTTCAAATCGTAATGCAAGATTGGAAACAAAGCTGCCATGGCAGTCATATAACAAGCATTTTCCCTGAGAATATTAAAGCAGAAATTGTCAGGCTGTTGATGATTGTTAGTACTAACCTCTTTAGTACATAAAAGCACAAGCCTACCATCTGGTGACCACTCGACAAGCACAAGCCGGTGATTAAGCTCCTTTCCCCAAATTCTATTTCCATCCACATTTCCCAACACTGCATGGCCATCTTCATATATAAAACAAATTTTACGGCCGTCAGAAGACCATCTCATGTCACGAACAACGCTTGTGCTGCGGTTGTTAATCATTTCCTCAAACCACATTCCCTGTAAGTACACACCTACTAAAAGTGATCACCTTTCTAAAACAGTTGACACCTTATGAAGTATCCAAACGATGATGAGTCCATTCTCATCACTTGACGTCAGCTTTCGGTAGTTTTGATTCCAGTTAACTACTAGGATGGAACCCCGGTGCCCTTCAAGCGTCTGGTTCATGGAAAGGTTCGATTGCGTGGTGAAAAACCCATCGTCCTTCACTCCGGATGCATCTTGGAGCTTGAGAACCTGTCAGAGTAAAGAGCCTAGCATCCCAAGCAAACTCCCAGAAACCCACCTTGACAATGCCATGATCAGTCCCGCAGGCCAGCCATCCCTGTTGCGTGTTCCAAGACAGGCTCCTGAGCTGCAAACCGTGTGGAATGCTGATCTTCTTGCTCAAATAAATATACATTTTTATGCCCTAATAGAGTGAAAAGGGTTAAAAGAACAAAGGATCTTCATTAGATAGACTTGAAATGGGATTTCGATGGATGTACCCAGTGCACTTGTCAGCAGAGGCGGAGCCTTTAAGGCTCTGAAGCTGTCCCTGCTTGTTCTCAATCGGATAGACATTGTTCTCAATCCATCTCTATGTTCGCCGTCTCCTGCGGTAGTATTTAATGAACTTTCGTGTATGATTACAGAAGGTGATGGTCATAGTTGTGATCTATTGCGCTTTGGGGCCGACTGGAAAACTTGCAAGATATCGATCTCACTTGTATTATTGCCATCGTCATTTAGAGGGCTCTTTTTCTGATTGACATGTATTAGTTAATCAACACCGTCAATCATGACAGGCCAGCGCTCAACTGTATGATTAACTATGCATGACCTGACCTGAAACACGGTTCAACATTAACTACCGAGCAAATACTATGATGGCAGACGAAGAGGGCGAGGAGGGCGAAAAGCCAGTGACTGTAAGGAGTCACTGTTTTAAGATGGATCTCAAAATTATGTTTGCAGCAATGGACCGGACCAATGATTGATTTTATTCCGCATGGCGAGGGCATAGCTACTTATCCAAACGGTGATACATACACCGGAGCATATGTACAGGGCACAAAGTCAGGACTGGGAAAATACAGATGGGCTAAGGCAGGAATGTTTGATGGTGTTTATGTGGACGATCAGAAGACTGGACCAGGCATATTGAAGTATCCTGACAATAGTATCTATGACGGTAAGGTTTACTCGTGAATGTTCTAGTATTTCTATTTAATTCATACAGGCCAATGGTTAAATGATAAAAGACATGGAACTGGAATGTACACATATCCAAATGGAGATCTTTATAAAGGAGAATGGAAGGATGGTGTAAAGCATGGCATTGGAACTTACTACTTCAAAGACAGTATGAGCCAGGTCATTAAGAAATCCTATGATCCCTTTTCCTTATTTCTTATCATTTTTGGTGCTCCTTATCAAAGACGACTCTTATTCAAATTTTTCTTTAATACAGTTCACAGGAACGTGGATGGCTGGAAGTTTAGCTAAAGGCCAGTGGGTTTATCGTGATGGAACAACATATGAAGGAGATTTTGCAGATAACAAGCCCAAAGGAGAAGGGAAGTATCTTTTTCTTGGAACTAGGAACGTCCTTCATGGGAATTGGATGGCTGGCGAATTTATATCTGGATCACTAATTTCAACATTGACTAATTGACTTATTTAGCATCAGATTGTTGCTTGTAGTAAAGAAGGGTGGCACTTCTTCAAAAGGAGAATACATAAGGAGAAAACAAGCAAGAAATTGAAAACTAGGCAGCTGTCCTCTTCACATATTTTTCACAATCTTGATTACATGAATTTCCTGCCACTTACTTTTTCGCTGTAACATTTTTGATGACTGTTTCTCCTGATGCTTGAATCCCATCCCGTTCATAAAGGTAACGTCCTTGTTTTTTCTCATTAGCTCTAGAGTATATAGCGCCCAAGGTAATCCGCAGCTCTTTTTTTTATGATGATCTAAGCTGGATACATATTGGACAGCTCGTCAGCTGGTGGAACCCATGGCAGGAATTGTCCTTCGCTTGTGCTTAATACAATTCTTAGAGCCTTTGAGAGGCTCTGCAGGTCAGTGTTTTTTCCCAGTACACTCAAAAGGGTGGCCACAAGTCCTTGGAAGCCATAAAGAAACACAGGCAATTGCTACAGCAGTTGCCCTAGGGCTATTTGAAAATAAAGATAGCTCAAACACTGGTTTTGGTCCCATATCCAAATAGGTTTCATGGCAAGAGCAGTACAACTTCCTCCATTCTTCTACGAGGAATGTTGTCGAGTGATATTTTGGAATTTTAAAGAGGCAATGGAAATTGCTAGCTCGAAAGGGATTCAGAGGACATTCAGGCATCCTTGCAAACAACATCATGGCTTGCTGCATGCTGCATAACTTGATCACATGGAATGACAGGTTCATGGAAGATTTTGACCCTGACAGATTAACCATGATGCAGGCTACCTTCCACAAAGGTCTCTTCATTCAGCTAAAGATAGCATAGCATTGAGAGACACTGTGGAAAAGTTTGTAGAGAGCTTAGAGTGACAATACTATTGTACTTTATTTACTTAAGAGTGACAAAACTAAACATTTCAGTGTTGATCCTCTGTTAATAGAGACATACCTTGTGGGATGACTCCTCAGCCATTGCTACTACGCTGTTAATGCCATTGCCTCTCAACCTTTGTACTTAAGCCATACTTTGAGGATCTAGTGAAGGAATGTTTGCAAGGTAGAACTTTATGTACTTATGCAAAGTTCAATTAAAGTATCCATTTGAGAAACTGAGTAATATCATATGTTGGGACCCAAAGGCACACTGAAGGTAGCATGGGTTAGCTAGGTCAACCAGGCCTAAGGAGCTACACCCAATGCCCCACAGGGATGTTGAATCTGTAGATGTATACTAGGGCATGGTGAGTTGAGGGTTATAAAGACACTTATATCCCATTGTCATTGGCTCTTAGCTAGAGAGGCTGATTTAAGCACACTGCTAAGTGGGGGGATGTCCCAAGAGACATGGTCAATAAGTTGTAGGATTGAAAAAAAGACATTTGATGTGGGTATTGAACTTTTTTTATGGGTGGTGGAGTTGTAAGGAATCAACTCCCTAAGGTATTCTTAAATTTTGGTATCATTTAACTCCCATCACCACTCACTTACCTGGGAACCTGTAAGGAACTAACTCCCTGAGGTGTAAGGCTAAAGGATCCCCAAAAACATGACCAAAATGATGAAAAGTTCATTGAATGAGACTGAGTCTGAGATCAAGTCCGAGTTTTAGTTCAAGACCGAGTTCGAGATTGAGTCCAAGACCGAGTTCGAGACCAAGTCTAAGATCCAAGATCGGGTCCAAGATTGAGTTCAAGACAGAGTTCGAGGTCGGGTCCAAGATTGAGTCCGAGATTGAGTTTGAGACCAAGTCCGAGGTTGAGTCCAAGATCAAGTCCGAGACTGAGTCCGAATACTAATATAGGTCATGGGGTGAAAGCCCAAAGCATGTGCTTCCAAACTGACTTAAGGTTAAGACTAGGGGCCTTAGGTGGGAATGTGCATGGAGTTAGGTGGTGCTAGAGAGGCCACCCGATGAAGTGCTCAAGAGCAACTCCCACTCCCGAAAGGGAAACTAATTACAGTGCTCCTAGCTCATGTGAACTGGTGCCCTACTTGAGTACCTTGTGGCTCATTGGTCCTCACTCCTTCCTAGGGGCTTGGGCCTTCCCTTCGGGATGGAAAAGTAAAGGTACCCATACTAAGCCATTAGGCCATAGTGTTTCTTGCCAGTGTCCTAAAGCAAGTGATACACCTAAGGCTTGGGATTTAGAGGGTCCTATAATTAAGTTTTATTGTACCAAGGGATGTTAGGAATCTGAAGTCTTGGTGTGCTTGGCTACTTATGTTTGTGGGGAGTGTAGTTGAACCTTAAATCCAGTCTAACCCAAGGAGGGGGATTGGGAGAGAATTTGGGAATTCATGGATAGATTGTTAATGCTCTATTGCTCGTGTAGTGAGTAGCTGAAACTAAGTAGGACCAAATATGAGATAGTACAATAGAAAGGAATCCTAGCAAGGGAACTTAACTAAGGCCAAGGCAGTGGTGGTCAGATAAATGAGGAAAGTTGGCAAATTGAAAAGGAAAAATTTGTGGCTTACAGAAGTGATTTCTACATTGAGCCTGCTTGATCACTGATAGTGTCCTAGCTTCTCACTGTCCATCGAAGAGCCCAACAAAGCCCTCCTTTTAGTGATTTAGGTTTTGTTGTTAGCAGCTCTTCCCTTTAGCATCCCTCCTTGGGGCAATCAGATGTTGAGGCTGTAGACTCTAGCACCTCTTCCAAGTGCAAAAGGTTGAGGCTTGGATCTCCCTCTATTGTTGCTTGGTATTTGGTGGCATTCCATCTTGGACACAGTAGTATAAAATAAAAAATAGAGAGATTTTGGAATGATTCTTTGTTGATTCTCGCAGTAGATGCTCCTGCTGATGGTAGCAAGTGCAAGGAGATTGGGTGCTCTCTCCTATGTGCTCTTCTCCTTTTGGCCGCACCTCTGATCACAGCAGCCATGGTGCTGGAAGCTGCACTCCTCTATGCCCTAAGTCGCCAATCATTTTTTCTCCTAATGCTTGGGTTCAAGTTCTAGCCTATTAGTGCGTGGTGATGATTTGGAATACAAGGACACTCATTTTTCAATGATCATAGACTCCCAGTAAGGAGGTTGACTTGGGCACACCACCAAGTGGGGGATGCCCCAAAATCATGATGCACAATTAGAGTGCTTAATGTGAAAGCTTGGTATATTTAATTTGAATGCTCTAGTGTAAGTGGGACCAAAAACATGGTAAATGAGATGGGAACACCCAATCTTAGTTGCTATGAACACTAGTTTAGGCACACCACCAAGTGTGGGGGATGCCCCTAGGGTTGTGGTTAATAGGTTAAAAGTTTGGTAGACCTAGTATCTATTGGTACATATATTCATATGTCAATGTGAGATTACTAGGTGATCCTATGGTTAAACAAAGATAAGCTCCTTATTAGGTTAAGGAATAAGTTTCCTAGTTCAAAGTGTTGATTTAAATTATTGGTAATAGTGTGACTTTATCAAAGTGATCAAATGTGAAAGACACCTACATGAAATGAATTATAATAATACAATGGTATTGTAAAGTAATGGAGACTAGGTCTGAGATCGAGGCTGACACTGAGACCAAGTTTGAGACCAAGACTGAGATTGAGTTCTCTATGGAAAGAAGCAAGAAACCTTGCAAAACTTAAGCATTTCTATTTGGGAAGATACTGCATCCTTGAGGGAAATTTTCCAGAGGGGAGAAATAAAACCCAAGGTCCATACCCCCCTAGTGACATGGCACCCAAAATGGGGGGGAAGGGGGAAACCCCGTGCCCCATAAGGTG